GTAAGATCTGAACTGGATTTGGTGACGGTACGCATAAAATAGTGATATTTTTCTGGATTTTAGTTTCACGAATTTTGTTGCCCCATCTGGAACGGAGAAAAGCCGGCGGGTGGCAAGGAAGTGGTTGTTAGCAGAAGCTGTACTCAAAACAAAATCATGGCTGTATTCTATGGCACCGAACTTGAAGAGCTGGACGATGAAAAAAGTGGGTTTTACAGCAGTCATTGCTTTAGAAACTACTGTACAGTTAGCTAAAGGTGTAAAATACACAGGCGCAACATTAACAGTGACAAGCATCGTCAGGATAGCGCACTGAGCGGCACTGCCGCACTGACGAGGTCCAGTTGTGGTGCTTGGTAGGAATGTATGCGACTTAATGGACTGGAACATTTCTTTCCCGTTGATTGATTTTTATGTTTTATACTTGGTCGTTGCTGGCAGGCATGGCGCAGTGGAGTAGCACTGTTGTTGTACAGTAGATAGAAGGTTCGACTCCACCGTTGGAACAGACAATCCCTCTATGATGTGTTCATTCGTTTCGATGGTAAAATTGTTATTGACATATATACCCCAAGGCGTCAAACTCGCCACCAGCTTACTTGTAAATTGTCGGAAAGGACGAATAGGAGTTGGAAAGTTATGACAAAGTAAAGAGATAAAACTAGAAAATATTAAAAGAAAAGTATTTGTTTCGTGAGCATAAGGATAAAACAGCTGTTCGAAATATCCGAACGGAAGAAAACTTCAGTTTTTGCTTAGGATATCCGGCCTGAAGAAATAGAATTTGATTAGAAGGATGCAGATTGAACCAAAGAGATGCAAAATTTAACCAAAAAAATTACCGAAATTGGCGAAAAATCGCATTTGAACGGGATTGTAGTTATTGGAATTCTAATTTGCATCAAAAATTCATACTCATTTCAGAAATGCAAAATTTGCGCAAGCAGAAACCAGAGGGATGAAGGGCTTGGTATAGTAGGCTTTGCGTTTGCTGTTGGCATTTGCGCTTATTCGAGCTACTTTCCGAATGCTTTTTTTTTCGATAGAGAGTGAATGCGGGGGAGATTTGACGCTTGGTTATGGTATCTGTTATTGTGTTTTTCAAGGTTAGTAATTGTTCCTCTGTTTTAGGTGGTATAAGCAATAAGCGGCCTCTTTCAATTGAGGAACAGGTGGTGACAGATGAGCGGGGACGACGACGTTTTCATGGCGCATTTACTGGTGGATTTTCGGCCGGTTATTTCAACACTGTTGGCTCGAAAGAGGGTGAGCATCTACGCTTTTTTTTTAAACAAAAAATTCCAATCGGTGCAAGAAAGGCTCAAGAACAAACAAGGGCATCTGTATAGACGATCAAGCGATCCGATGTTATTGCTTTGGTCCTGAACTGCATACTTTTTAAAGAGAAGGTAAATTCCGCTAGGCAGGGCATGTTGCTCGTCTTGCCGACAACTGATGGATAATACACATCAGTGAGTGATACCCAGCAGAAACTATAAACGACCACTCGGCTAACCTTTGAAAAGTTGACATTCATGCATTCAGCGGGCGATGGGTACTAACTGGAAGTATGCAACCCAGGGATGAAGGACCTGGCATAGGTGCCCTTTGCAGTGTAAGAATACCAGTTACATTACTTCCGGGAAATATCCAAACTGTTAGCCCGAGCGGTCTTGGTTCTTGATAATCACCTCTTGCACGATGTATGTGCGCCATCTCTTCAGGGGTCACCGATCTGATCAGTTTCATCCGTGCAAGTGTCATTCTGGTACCGGGCTTTCGTGGGTTGTCAACAAAACATGCAAAATGTTTCGTCTACCGGAATCTTGCTTTCTTATGTGATCGTAGCGCTCCACTTTCTGGCAGAAGGAATCTGACTGCTTATATCGTCGCAGAAAGACATTCCAAGCATCCTTCTCTACATTGTTGCGTTCGGCGCAGCTGGAGTTTACTATTTTGCTTTCATCTGTAAAATGCAAAAAATAAAACTCTGTATTGAACTGGAAGAAATTTAAGGTTGGGAGCCAAAACAGTTCCGGTCGAGCCGCAGCGAGAGAAGTGAAAAATTTGATTACAAACCAGAAGACTTCATGGATGAAGAGGTTCACTTTTTGCTTATTATATCCGTGTAAAAAGTAGGACGAAAACTGAAAGAAATATGATAAAATGTGCCAAGTGAGAAAAAAACATGTCATTTTCAGCTGCTTGTATGTGTCTCGGTACAGCCGCTAGTTCGATAGCCTGACTAATTTTGCTTCCATCGGACTATTTTTATGCGTCTTGCGTTGTGTAGCAGCAGCACAGAGCGTATATTATCACATTACTATGTATGTGTGTATGTTTGTGTGTGTGTGTTTATGTGTGTGTGTGTGTGTGTGCATGTGTGTGCGTTTGTGTATGTGTTCGTGTGTGTGCGTGTGTGCATTTTGTTCCGCACCTTCGATTCAGGAGCCACAAAAGCTAGGACACTGGAGTTTTAGGAGGTGGCAAGGATCTCGCTGGTTCTTTTTATGCGTTTTGTGCTGTGTAACAGCAGTACAAAACGCATATTGTTACGGGGTTGTC